GGCCTGTGGGGACACAGCGGGATGGCATGGGGGGAAATTGAGAGGCACTACAGTATCCCTGAAGTTGATTGTAAAGGCAGGCACATTGCCAAGCACCCAAATTTTGTTCACATGACCATGACATGCTGCAGCAGCTATAACTTCAGGCAGTGGGTTGTGCCTTCAGCACTGTCATAATTTCGAACTGCTGAACAAACAGTTGTAAGCCAAAGACTACCTATATGAAAACATGAGAGTATCATAAGTGAGGAGATCGAGAGAACAGATAACCACAGATCATTATCCCCTTTCTTCACAGTCTTAACTTTCTCAGCAGGCTAGTTGGAAAACAGCCACCTTGATCCTACACTGATGTTCTAGCTGGAACTATATTTTCTTCTCCATGCCTTCCTACAGTTACTAATTAAAACTGTCCTTTTTGTCTCCAAAAAACCTCAGGGTTTAGCAGTGGGGAAATGATTGCTTTAAAGCCCCAGGTAAACAGACAAGGTTAAGCTGATGCGCCGTCTGATAGTTGTGTAGGAAAATGGGACAAGGTTTCCATAATCCATTGTGTATTTCTAAAATTCAGATCTGATTAAGGTTTTTTCCCTTGGTTCAATTTCATGTTACCATGCTAACTGTGGAATAGAATAGTTAGGGGGAACGTGTCATATCTGTCATCTTCAGCTTTAGGTTTTACTGGCATCCTGCCATAAAATGCAAGGGGGAAAGAGGGGACAATGGAATGTAGAGTAGTAAGGATGGGAATGGGTATGTGAAGATAAATGGCAGGAGGGGGGTGGCAGACTTGATGAAAACCAGAGGTGCCAGAACTGGAATACACCAGGATGTCAAGGACATCCGGTCTGAGAATGGAATGCAAAATTGCACCGAGTGGTGCCAAATATCCAAGCTGTTCCCAAAACATCTGAGTGGATGGCCATTGGACACTGATGGACTGGTCAATGGGGGAGGGCCAGGAAAAGGGGAAAGTGTAATCTTTGCATGGGAATATTCAGATCTAACCTCTTTTTTTGCTGCAACCACTTAATCATAGTAAAAGAATCTATCCCTTCAACCAAATGGAGTTGAGGATCTTTCTTTCCTAGGGACCTAAGATGGGGCAGGCCTGACAGAAAGTTTCTTTGGGCCACATTTTAAAATGAACTGGTTTGTAGATTCCAGGCTAATACTGTAGTATAATTTTTGAACTGCAGGCTGCTTAGAACATGATGCAGTTTTTAGCTCACACATATACTGAAAAATTCCATTCAAGGGGCATACAGTACATAACAAACATATAAGAATAGTACAATTATATATGCATTATTTTATTTTTTAAAAACAAGAAGAAATATAGATACTGAGTGCAAGAGATTACTGATATGCAAACAGAAATGGTTCCTCTGTCCCTACCTTTTTAATTGTATGTTTATGTGATAAAAGCTTGTCTTTTAGTCTCTTGAAGTAGTCCAGGCAAAACCACAATAATGAATACCAGTTCTATGTTTATTGTAAGATGACATTAACACAGGAGTGGGCAGCTATGGCCCCTTCATGACCTGTGGACTTCAGCTTCCAGACTTCTCGAGCCAGCATAGGGACCATAGTTGCCCAACCCTGCTTTAACAGAATATTGCAAGATTGAAAGTATTTCTCCTCTCCTTTCCTTTTACCCTTCAGAAAAGTAGGGAAGGATCCTTCTAAAAGGTTTCTCACACTTTCTCTCTTTCTGTGGGGCTGAAAAATCTTTTAGATGTCAGTTGTCCAAAATGTGTCTCTTCTTCCTTTCTTCTAAAGTCATTCCCACATATGGTGACATCTAGGATTTGTATAAAGTCTATATTCTTTAGAAATCCTTAGTTAAACTTAGGCTGCTTGGTTTGTATCTGCCTGTCTACCACATGAGGGGGTCAACTTATTTTCCAAAGCACCTGAAGGAAGGACAAGAGACAATGGATGGAAACTAATCAAGGAGAGAAGCAACCTAGAACTAAGGAGAAATTTCCCAACAGTGAGAACAATTAACCAGGGAACAGCTTGCCTTCAGAAGTTGTGGGTGTTCCATCACTTGGAGGATGCTTTTAAGAAGAGACTGGACACCTATTTGTCTGGAATTGTATAGGGTCTCCTGTTTGTGCAGGGGATTGGACTAGAAGACCTCCAAGGTCCCTTCGAACTCTGTTATTTTGTTATTCATTGAGTCTAAAGTACGCTTGAACAAATGTATGGATACAATTTTGAAGAAGTGTGCATTGCTGTAGCATTCATCCCAAATTCCAGGAAATGAGCCACTTTACGCTGAAGATAGCCATATCATTTCACAATGAAACTATTGCAGATTCTTCTTCTAGGACTGTGGAAGGATAGCTTTGCCTGGGCCCGAGCAGATTATAAATAACTTCTTCAAATGACAGCTGCTACGGTATTTTCTGTTTGTCTCTTCTCTGCTCTTTCTAGGGAAATAAACTTCATAGCAAATCTAACAAGGGATAAAGTCTTTTACAACCAACTCTCTCCAAGCTGCTGGCATTTAACAGGGGAGAAGGTTGCAGTAATGATTCCAGTATACATTACAGATTCACAAAGCAAGTAAGATGAGCATAACCATTTGAGACACTATCCCTTCCTACAAAAACCAAGTATTTTATTCTATATGCAATATAATGCAATGGTGCAGGGTTCGTTATGCATGAAAGTTCCCCTGCATTGCCTTCTGAAAGGCTTTTGCTACTGTGAAATGGTGCTTGCACACTGTAAGGCAGAGGTCCCCAACCAAGGATGTTCGCACCCCGTGGCGGTACGAGATGATATTCCAGGTGGTGCGAAAACTTGGGTTTTCAAAATTATAGTGTATATACATAATTTGTTGCCGTTATTTCGAACTTTTGTAAGGGGTGCAAGAATATATCAGAAGCGTTCTAGGGGTGTGGGGTACAGAAAAGGTTGGGAACCGCTGGTGTAACGTCTCAGCTGGACAGGAAGCTTTTGAGAGGACGCTCCTTGAAGATAGAAGGAAATGCAAGACTCCCCTGCTTCCAACATGGTAGTGGTGGTGTTGGGGTGTAGAATAGAGGGTGGGGGGAAGGGTGGCACGATCATTTTAACAGAACATTGTGCAGAATAAAGAAAAATGTTTCTATTATACTTTAAAAAATATTGTTAACTTACATGCACAAAAATGACGCTATTCAGATATGAGCAATTAATTTCCTTTGGTTGTTGAAATCCTGGGATTCCACTCAAAGGTGGAAATGAAAAAAAAATCTATGAAAATTCTGAGCGTGTATAAGAGCTATATTAGGCTAAAGGAAAGGAAAGGAATCAAAATGTTGGACTTCTGGCATAGAATTGAAATGTGCTTTTACAAGAAAGGACATTCTTCAACGGATATAAGATTCTGATCTGACACGCTGTGACAAGAATTCTAAATTATAGAGAACCATTTATTGTCTTAATGCTGGTGTGTGATTTCCCAGGTAGAAGCCACCATTACCAAGATCTTTCTCCAGCAATCACCTTTTGAAAGTGTTTTAGATCGCCTTGAATGAAAACCAAGTCATTTGTGAATACTTTCATCGTGAAGGCTGAAGGCAGGATGGAAACAAAACTATTCTTTTTCTCATTATCCTTTAGTTATTGAAAAATCTTTCAGCCAAAATAGGATGGTTCAAAAACTGTTTTACATTAATGGTTACATATTGCTTCTTTCTTTCCCCAAATAAGTGAATAAATCTGACATCTGTATTACTGTTGTCTAAAAAACAGTCTGCAGGTGAGTGCTAATGGAGTAGCTAAACCAAGTTTTTAAAATGGCTGCATGTTGAGATCAATTGTATTTTTATTGTTTTCTAGCCTAAAAATGTACTCTGAAATCTTTCAGTAAGACAGATTTATTTCTTAATTTTATTATATACTGCAGGAAGTATTTAAAGTCATTTGTGTTAACTAAGATAATTATTTTATATCAGTGTTCAAGATGATACAGTAGGAATTGTTTTTGAAGATAACATCCCATCAAAGAAGTAAAAAAAATAAAGTAAAAATAATCAAGAGAATCAAATAGTTAAGTCCTCTTGATGGTACAGTGAGACTGATGTTTAAGCATTGCTTTAGTCCATAATGAGCTTTTTTTTAAAGAGGCAACTGATTTTATTAGAAGATGTGGTAGAACTAATGAAAATAAGATGTTTAATAATAACTGATCAGTGAAACTATTTAGAAATTCTCAAAATGATAAAGAACAAATTATAAACAATCTATATAATGTGTGTGTGTATGTATATATATATATATATATATATATATATATATATATATATATATATATATATATATATATAGCCTAAGTTAAAAGAAAGAAAAACAAACACCAGGATGGAATAAACCAGACTGTTTAATATAAACAAGCCTGTGGTTAAAAAATCACTAAGCTTTCGTCGGCCAGACTGCTGACATCGTCAGAGTTGGAGTAAAAGGAGATCTGGGAGATAGCCTATATAACGACCTGCCTCTGCGCCCGGCTTCTCAAGTGCGTCATTGGCCCGTTGATTGTGCTCATCCGTAATGCACTGATGACGCGCTCGAGAAGCCGGGCGTAGAGGCAGGTCGTTATATAGGCTGGCTCCCAGATCTCCTTTTACTCCAGCTCTGAAGACGTTAGCAGTCTGGCCGATGAAAGCTTAGTGATTTGTTTAAATCATAATTATTGGAGTAGGTTAGAATAATTATAGCAGATTCAGAGACTTGGTTTCTCAGGTACCTATGCTGACAATGAACAATTGCCTTGTGCCATTCCTCATCCTGATGCCCTCCAAGGTGCTCAATATCAAATCCCATCTTCCTCAGCCAGCCCATCTTCTGTTGATGCGTTCTGGGAAATTTGGAGTTAAAATCTAAATGGTACATAGGGCATCAGATTGAGTAAAGCTCCCCAATAGAAATCAGATTAATATTGCCATTTTTCTGTTTAAATCCTATTCAGGTAGAACACAATATATATCTATTTGTACATGCTGACCTTTCTAAGGCTTGGATCACTGATTAAAATCATCATTCACTGCTTCTTTGGTGTTTTTGCGGTTTGTGTCTGATGATTTGTTGAAAGTAAATTGTTGATGAAAAGCTGAGGCGTTAAGTAAAACAGTTTGGTAACCATGGATGAATAAGTGCTATATAGCTGTACTAGAAGGCTTGTGGGGGTAGGAGTGTGCAATCAAAGTGTGAACCCATAACTGAGCATGACACATTGCCACAATGCCTGTGCTGCAACCTCTGTACAAATTCAGAATAGACCTTTCAACCTCATCCTCTATAAAAATGGCTAATGCCAACAAGTGGATTGGGTGACTCTGAGGAAGTTCTGAAAGCAGATTGTGACTTGATATGATGTGATATGAAGGGTTTGCTATTTGAAAGGAAATGCCAGCAACTCAGTTTGACAGATTGGGTTGAGGCAGAGGGAATGTTTTGATCCCTAGCAAAAAATGATATCTAAACCATTTAGGATCTTACTTAAGTTTATAGAATTGCCTTTAGAAGGGCAATCACTTCCTTTTTTACAACCCTGTAATCCCTATTATGGGTAGAGTCGAGGCAACTGAAAAGAGCTGAGTGTTTACTAGCCAGATTCCCTTCCTGATGCCATGTGGAGTTCACAGCAGATTTTTTTTCTTTGTGCCCTAGGAAGGAAACGTCTACCTAGGATTTTGCTTTCAATCTTCTGAGTGGGAGGTGAGCATCTTCAGCACTAGGCCACCATACCTCTCTGTTTAGAAGGGCAATCTCTACAGATGCTTAAACACTAATTCATTACGCCAGATGCTGGGCACTACAAAGATGTATTTTGTGCTATAAAATGAGATATACAATAACCATTTTACGTGTAAATCATTCTGCTTTTTTAAAAAATACGATTTCTTGATATTTAGTTGAATAGAGCTAATGAAAACCTCTCAGCCATATAAGGTACACTGTGATTAATCATAAAGCATTTTGCGTCTTCTTATAACATAGTGGGTCCAATATGCCAATATCCCAGTATTTGCAAACATAGCCAGAATGTTGACACCAAATAGGAGTTATGCAGGGAAGGCAATGACACATGCCTGCATGAGGAGATTTATCCTGCCTACACTGAAGAAGAAATACAGTGATTGTAGAGAAGAGGCAAATTGGCATTCACCTTGATATTATAGCCAACTAGGTAATGGTAGATAGTTCAGACTGACAGCCAGATTTAGAAAAAGAATGCTTTTGCCTGGCCACTTATATCAAAGTGGAATTATTTTCTCATGCAGGGAGAGCAAAAAGCCAAAACGAAAGCAAGCCCGTTAATCCTTTTTGGGGAATGACAACAACTTGTATGCCTTATCATTAAGGTTTCTCCATTTTCCTGACAACAGCTGGGCAATGAAGTAGCAAGACAGCAGTCATCATAGGACAGGGGTAGGCAACCTTGGCTCTTTGATGACTTGTGGACTTCAACTCCCAGAATTCCTGAGCCAGCATGGCTGGCTCAGGAATTCTGGGAGTTGAAGTCCACAAATCATCAAAGAGCCAAGGTTGCCTACCCCTGTCATAGGACAAGGGATCAACTCAGCTCTAACCCACGCCCAAAATGTTAAAATACAGGCAAGGATAGTGAGGAGAGTCAAATAATTATTAGATTACAGTTGGTGGGAACTCAGAAGGTATTTGCTGTCGATATAAAAGGATACATTTCTAGCTATTCTGTAGATTCATATGCATCCACTGGAAAAACATGGGAGTTAAGGCAAAACTCCAACGATGAAGGAAATGAATCAGAATCTCTTCTGAGGAAAAAAAAATGGCAAAGTATCAATTGAACTGTACAAACTAAACCAACAGAGCTTTTGGTCTGGTAACTTGAAAAGATCATTGGAACTGGAATTTTTAAATGCCATTAAGGGATCAAAATCGCAGCATCAAAGGTGAAGAGGGATTTTGGGTAGAACATCAATGTCGGAAAAAACAAATAGTTCAAAAATTTCAAACTACTTGAAATGTTACAGAAGTTAATACTAACAGCACACTTTGCTTAAGATAGTTAAGACTGAAAAGTGCTACTAAATCCTGGGAACTTCTACAGAGGGGAGGATGGCAAAGAAGTGAAGTTGGGGTTTTGGTAATACAGCTGTGACATTTTGACATTTTTGCAAATGCCTTTGATACTTCCCTTTAATTTTTTCTTCTGTATAAAAGTTCGTTCTATTTTTTTTCCCCTTATAATTAAAATGGCTCCTTACCAAATACACAATTTTGGTAGATCTGATTTTTTTTCTAAATGTACAAATCCAGCCCTCAGTTTTTTTTTAAAAAAAAATGCTTCCTCTTTTATTTATTTATAATTCTAATATATATCACCCTCCATCTCATATGTATGACTCTTCAGTTTACAGAAAATTAAAACAAATCTACAACCAATACAATTTAAAACCAAAAAATCCAGAATAAAAACAAATTAAATGTTATAATAAAGTACATAAAACTCACAGGCAAGGTTATCCGGTTCATCAAAACAATCTGTACAGCCCAGTGGTGGAATTCAAATACCTGAACAACCGATTCTCTTATTCGATGCAGGCCTGGGCCTCTGAGGCCTAGAACGGACTTCCGGAAGTGGCATCCATGCACTTCCGATGGGCTGTTCTAGGCCTGGGAGGCTTCCTCCATGCCTCCAAGGCCTAGACTGGACTTCTGGAAGCCAGTCAGTTCTCCAAATGTAGCAAAATATAGCTACCGGATCTACCGAACTGGTGCGAACTGGTTGAATCCCACCACTGGTACAGCCATTGCATTGGCCCTTCTGGGTCCCAATGGTGGTTTGGGCAAAGCAGGATGGGGCCCAGGTGATCACAAGTGGATGATATTCCATAGGGCAGGTGCCACATGTCCCACCAGATGACACTCCCTGGCGAATGGGACCTGAAGCATCCCTCTCTTGCCAGATCTTTGGGATGAATAGATGTAACTGGGGAGAAAAAGTCCTTCAAGTAACCCAGTCCCATGCCAAGTAAGGCTTTTCATTATTCCAGAGGAGAGGAAATATATGCAATCTATTAGGAAAATATAAGAAATTCCCTCCTATCATTCTGTGATTCAAGGCTACCTACAGAGATAAAAGTCAGAATAATAATTTCCATCTGCATGTGGGATTTAGGATGTAACAAATTGGACTTGAGAAAGCTCAACTCACTTCATGCTCAAGGAACAAGTAGCCTGGTAGGACAAGGGAATCAAACATAATCTTTTCTCAACCAGAGATCAACTTTATGGGGAATATAGCATGTGTTCCATTAAAAAAAACAAAAACAAAAATGTGATTTTAGAATACACACATATAAAATACACATGTGATTTCAGAATGATCCACAAGGTTTTTCAAGATATCCATCTATGGTTGGTCCTCATTTAACAAACATTCAGTGATTATTCAAACTGGTGAAATGATGAAATGGTAGTTATGACTTGTCCTCAGAGTTCAAGCTGGCACAGTGCCCTCTGTGAACCTGTAATCATGATCTGGGTTCTTGGCAGCCAGCCTGGATTTCTGTAGCATCCTGTGGTCACTTGATCATGATCTTCTCTGCTGTTTCCCACAAGCAAAGTTAATGGGAAATCTGATAGGAAATCATAAGTCATAATCACATGAGGTCCTCACTTAATGACTCACATTTTCCTGCTAATGGTTAATGGAGACTTCCAGAGCTGCCATTGCTAAGTAGCACAGTCACATGATACCACATTTTGTGACTGCATTGTTTAGCAATGAAAATTCTGCTCCCAATTACTGTAAGTAACTGAGGGCTATCTATATCCTATTGAGTCCTATTAGCAAAAACATAGAAGCATAGAGCTGGAAGGGACCTTGGAGATCTTCTAGTCTTATTCCCTGCTCAGGAGAAGAGTCCTTATTCCATCTTGAACAAATAGTTGTTTTCTTGAAAACTTTCAGCAGTGTAGCACCCACAACTCTGAGAGCCAAGCTCTTCCATTGACTAATAGTTCTCATTGTCAGGAGCTTCCATCCATTGCTTCTTGTCCTGCCCTCAGGTGGTATAAATCAATGACTATTCCCTGTGATAGCCTTTCATATATTGGAAGACAGTTATTATGTCACCCATGAGCCTTCTCTTTGTTAAAGTTTGCTTGTTTCAGGAGGGAGAGAATTACTTGTACACAAATAAAACAATGTATATAATTTACAATTGGCATTCTAAATAACATTACTGTTGGTGAGTGAGATTATTTGGGGAGTTTATGTATATTTTTATGTACATCCATGGGTTGGTTCAAACTGAATATTTAGCTCTTGGTAATTTCAGCATTAAATAGTACAGGGGTGTCAAACTCGCAACATCACGTGACGTGTGGCAACGTATCAAGACTTTTTCTCCATTGCCGGCAATGGGGTGGGCGTGTTTTCAGCATGACGCATCTGGCCTGCAGGCCGGCAGTTTAACACCCCTGAAATAGTAGTTTGAGTTTGTGAATGAGTGTCACATTCTATATTTGAGGACTGAGTTATCATGGAATGAACAACCAAACTACACCTATATAAAGGCAGTGGTGGGATTCAGCAAGTTTGCACTGGTTCGAGAGAACCGGTAGCTAAATTTATCTGAATTCGGAGAACTGGCTGGCTTCTGGAAGTCCAATCTAGGCCTCAGAGGCCTCCCAGGCCTAGAATGGCCCACTGGAAGTGCATGATGCCATTTCTGGAAGTCCGTTCTAGGCATTGGAGGCCCAGACCTGCATCACATAATAGAACCGGTTGTTCAGGTATTTGAATCCCACCACTGTATGAAGGGCCTTACTAGAAGGTAGAAATTTCTTGGCTATCACTCTGAAAACTCCAAGCAAGTCATTGCAAATTAATCTATACTAAAGTAGCATAAGGGTAGGATCTGTATTCTGTAGTACAGTACTGTAGTTATATATCCCCAAAGAACTATGTAAGGGTCCTTTTTGTAGATTTCAGCTCAGTATTCAACACCATCCATTCCTGAAATCCTCCTCTCTAAACTGACTTAGCTGACCACACTTGTGGATAGATTATAAGCTTTCTAACTAATAGGAACAGCAGGTGAAGCTAGGGAAAATCACATCGAACACCCATACAATTAGCACAGGAGTCCCCTAGGGCTGTGTGCTCTTTCCATCACTCTTCTCTCTATATACCAATGACTGCATCTTGAAGGATCCCTCTGTTAAAGTACTGAAGTTTGCAGATGACACAATGGTCACTGGTCTCATTTGAGACAATGAGTCTGCATATAGACAAGAGGTAGATCAACTGGCCCTGTGGCCAGATCAGCCAGAACAATCTGGAGCTGAACACTCTTAAAATTGTAGAGACGATAGCAGATTTTAGAAGAATCTCTCCTATTCTACCACCTTTTACAATATTAGGCAACACAGTGTCAACAGTATCAAATAGAAAACCCAACATTAGAACCATAGTTAAAAAGGAACAACGAAGGCATCAACTCAGAAAGCTCAGGTTGCCCAGGAATCTGCTGATACAATTCTGCAGAGGAATTACGGAGTCTGTCATTTGAACTTCAGTAACTCTCTGATTTGCCACAGCAATCAAATAGGACAGGTACAGACTCCAACAGATAGGACTGCAGAAAAAACAATCGCAACCAGTTTGCCTTCCATTGAGGATCTGTATACTACATGAACCAGGAAGGAGGCACATAATCTATTTCAACCCCTCAGGACGCCACTATATAGCATTGCTGGACAAAACAACTAGACATAAAGATAGTTCCTTACCCTGTGCCATCATTCTCCTAAACATCTAACTGTACTGTCTTATGCCTAAAGATATTTACCCATGTAGTAGGCTTTATTGCTATTATCTTTGTTATCTTCTCATCTTTCTCATCTTCTTGTCTTTTTTACTATCTTCTCCTATTGGTTTCTTATGATTTATCAATTGTTGTTTGTAATTTATGATTAATGATTTTAACTATGACCTATGACCTATTACTTACTGTTTATATGTACACTGTGAGCTTATGTACTGGAGACAAATTCCTTGCATGTCCCATCAAACTTGGCCAATACAGAATTCTATTCTATTCTATTCTATTCTATTCTATTCTATTCTATTCTATTCTATTCTATTCTATTCCATTCCATTCCATTCCATCCCATCCCATCCCATCCCATCCCATCCCATCCCATCCCATCCCATCCCATCCCATCATCTTAAAATGTGACATAGCCAGAGATGTAATTCAAAATCATAGCTGGCTCTTTTTCCTATCTCCTATGCCAAAGATCTTTCCACTTTGCATTTTTCTGTCATCCGATCTATCAGGCCTCTCTGGCATCACTTTTTGCTTCATTAAAAATCTGTCTTATTTTAGTTTTATTTGATAATACTTTTTTTTTCCTTTCCATGAATAAGCTGTTTCTCAGTATATGTGTACATGTGTGTATAGTGTTAATATCCTGATTCATTACTTTTTTACTTATCTGTATTTTTCCATTATGCTTATCTATATTTTTCCATTATTGAGATATCTACTAGAATATTTAAAGATTTCTTAACGCCATCAGCTTCGGTAAATAGGAAAAAAAAATCTATTTTAGATAACAGGAATCATCTAAGTCAGAATAAATCAGTTAAAAGTTCTACTCAATTTGTTTGAATAGAAATAAAAGACAAAGTTGGCCTACTAATATTGACTTTAATATTTTCATTCATTAAGGATAATTTCTTAGAAAAGATGCTCTTTTCATGTGATGAGAGATCCTTGACTAGCAGACTTCTTGACTA